ATGAATATTCTGTATCTAATTTTTTTTGGAGAGCTGCTGTACTCTCTTAGCATTTTTTTTACCTGCTTTCTTTAATTAGGGTTGTGCAGTTAGGACCTGGGGGAAATTTGCCTCATTTTGGGACAATTATGATTTGCATCACTTTCTAAGGCTACATGTCAAAAGCAGAACATGTCTGTCACCTTTTGACCTATATCTATTTGACTGCTGTCGTCCCCTACGGATAATGACACTAATCAGATAATAGCTAAAATGCATTGAATGTTTACTTTGCCTCAAACACTGTTCTAAAAAATCTTTGCATATATTAAACCATTTACTCTTCATCATCCATGAAGGTTCTAAGAAGCTTACTGTCCCAATCTTGCATCTGAGGAAAGTGAGTTACAGGGAAGTAGAGACATAAAATGGGGTGTGTGTGTGTGTGCAGGAGGACAAGATAAGACCATGTAACTCAGGGCCTACTTTACAAATTAGGGAATAGAGGCCTGAGAGGAGATACCCCAAGTCACAAGGGTGAGCTCACAGGCTTCCAGACGTCTGGAATCCCCTGCCCCACTCCCCACTCTTGCTGCTCTAAGACAGTATTCCATCATTCATGTCGTTTATCCCACTGACCCAGGCAAAACCTCCTCAGAGAGGCTGCCGTGCTACATCTGGATCCAGCTGGACATTTCTGGCTCTCCTCCTGATAATTACCTAGGCAGGACTCCACTGAAATATGATGGGAGAGGATTACAGCTCTGGCTTTAGGATTTTGTGAAAACTCATGGAAGTAGCACATCAATACTAGTCAAGGACTGAAAGACCCTTTTTAAGAAGGTGAGATAAGTTTTGGCAAAAGTGAGTTGCCCTAAGAAGTATTCAATATACTGTAAGGGAGTCGCTCGAAACAATTATGATTTTTTTAAACTTCAATATTCAAGTAGTGAAAACCTGGAATGTGCATCTCCAGCAAACTTGCACCCTGAGTTATGAGTGAACTCATGCATAGGGTGGGCCTGCGTTTTCCATTATGTCCCCTTATTCCTTACGTTTTGCAGTAATCCGAGTTACATGTTTCTCTCATGTTTTTTTCGAACTTCATGAACTCTGGCATTTCATTTCACAGATGTATATCCAAGGGAAAAGTTAGTTTCTCTTTGATCTTCCTCAGGACCTCATCATGTTTAACCTAAGAAAGATTAGGGAGTTTTCATTCAATGCTGAGCAAACATAAGACTCAGAGGCAAAGATGGTGGGCGCTTAATCTATTTACAACACCGACTTCATTATGAACTCATTCCACATAACTAGACTTTAAAAAGCATTCCTCAGAATGGAATTCCCGTCTGCCTTCAGAGGCTGCATGCATATGGTCCAGGGTACTGGATGTATCGGCCTCACCAAGGAAGTTATTTAGCATGAAATATTTAAACTCCAGAGGATTTTAAAGCTTTGAAATCACTGTCACTGTTGGTTTCTCCATATGGTAGGCAAGTTGTATTTTATGCTAGCTCTGTCTTCTCCCTCTACTAAATGGGCAGTTTCTAGAAAGTGCTGTCACCTTCTAGTGTTTGTAATAACATCTGTTCCTCTGGTGAAAGGAGTCAGCTACAGGCCTTGGACAAACAACCCTGTAAGCCAGGGTGAACTCAGAGGGGCAAAAGCTGCCACTCAGCCAGCACCTGGAAAACCAGACAGCTCAGTTCCCCTCTGCTCCAAAATGGGTTTTCAGAACTCTGTCCACCTTTTAAAGAGCTAAGTTTAAACCAACCTGTAGGCTTCATTATGACATTTTTTATTTTCTAGCCTTAAAATGAGAAGAGAAGGTTAAAACTGAATCAAATATTAGCCTGTCAGATTTTCAGTTCCCTGTCCTCCCAATGGCACTGATGGAGCTGTATTTCCTAATGAAGGCTCCAGTGTTAATGGTGGTACTTGCTATAATCAGTTAGGACTAAGTGTTATTTAATTCACAGTGAAGCAACAATCTGACTGGATTGTGATTAGTTCCAGCTTTCAGCTATCATTTATAGGTCACCAGGCGGCTAACAACCTCAATCGAGGGACCATTATCTTTTGACAAGATGAAGCTTTTTCTGGGGGAGGGGAGGGAGAGGAGTTCTACCCAGAAAGCCTGGCTCAATACTCCCCATGGTTTCAATGTTCTCACTCCTAATAGAGCTTTACTGCCATTTTATTCCAAGAACTATGCTAGTGGATGCCAGGCAGGTCTAAAGAAAGCATGGAAGGGAAAGACTCTCTTCTTACCATGCACTCATCCACTCAGCATCTGTTCCCCAGGTGAAGCACTGTGGAGAGTGTGTTGATAGGGTTCCCTGGAACAAAGGCTAATATTCAGCCTGCGTATACTGGTATGGCCATTCTAGCTTTTTAAAATCACCTTTATCTGTCATGATGTGTTGGGACCCTGTTCTGATGGTTCATGTCAGTGCTGTACTGACTGTGGAAAAATTCCGAGTTGTATCTGAGCCTACGACAATCCTTTTATTATTTTATTTATATTGATTGGTTGGTTGAGACAATTCTCCCTATGTAGCTCAGACTAACCTTGAGTCTGAGAGCGTCCTGCCTTAGCCTTCTAAGTCCTGGGATTAGAGAGATGCACCACTGTGTGTGGCTTGGATTGTGCCCTTTGGTGAAGCTACTTTTTCTTCACAAAAATGACATTAAAACAATACTGTCTCTCTTTCATTATTGGAGCATGCCCTAAATTAGATGAAAGCTGTAGACCTCCAGTTAAGGTCTAAGAAAGCTGATGTAGTGTTGTTAGAAAGTGTAATTCGGATGTCGTTTTAGTGTGACTTAAAAGGGTTGGATGGCTGTGTGCCTGGCTGCTCTCAATGACAGCCATGATTTTACCAGCCAGCCCCATAGCAGGGGATCTATTGGAACAGCCTGAGTAACACACAGGACATATACCCTTGTTCTGCTGGAACAATGCAAGTGTCCCTGCTGTCACCAAATGTTGTGACCTGCAAGCAGGGCCTGGTGTGGTGAGAGCTGACCTCTTTTCCCACTCCCAGAACATCAGGCTCTTCCTTTAGTCTGTTTTGGGAAGATAGAGACAGCCTTAGGTCTTGCTTTTGTTTTCCTTCTATTTAATAAGTCTGTTTTATGTAAAGTTCTACCTGACTATAAGAAAAAGAATCTATTTTTAGAGCTACTTTTAGAACCAAAAATATCCAACTTTGACCAGTCTAGTGTAATACCTAAAGCTACCCGCTGGGCACTAGTCACTATGAAGGCACTTTACACACGGAACTCCATTCAGCCCTCACTTTGATCCAGAGAGCAGAATTATTTCTGAGAAGTGGCCAATGAGTCTGAAGCCTGGCCCAGGATATAAATCCAGGCCTGCTGCTCCATGGCACGCTGGGGTGTGAATCTTACAGGTGTTACCTCTGCTTACTGTAGTGAAGATGAACCACACCTCAGAGCTACCAGTGGAGACAAAGGATAGTAATGTTTGTCAGACTTGAGCGTGTGGTGTGGTGTATGGAAAAGAACCATGAGCCCACAATGCAACTAACATTATAAATTATTACTTAAATATGCATGAATATAAACTTCACATAAACTCTTCGTACTGCTACTATTTTGAGCCATTTCCTTACATACAATGTGCATTTGGGGCTTATTTTATGCAGATTTTTATTATGCTTTTCTTTTATCATTTCCCATGCACCAGCATTTTCCTATAATAGGAGCAAAACTTGAAAAATTGACGTTTTCATTCTTGCACCAATATACTGGATTTTACCATACATCCAATCATTTCCTTATATCTGGGCACTTAGATTGTTTCTTTCTGCCATTATGAAGCACACTGTAACATGGGTTTTGGACCTGGACCTCTGGTGCCTTTCTGATTATTTCCTTGGAGTTAATACTCAGGAATGGAATTACTCCTGTGTCAAAGGACACAAATATTTTTAAGGTTTTAAATATATACATTTCTCCAGAAAGGTTGTACTAATTTGTCCACCTCTGAGATTGAAGAATTACTTGACACTCAAGAAGAAAGTGGTGTTTAAATGTTACTTTAAGGTGAGTGAGAGTTCTGCTACTGAAAGCTAGGGGCCATCTTCCAGGTGGGCAGCCTCAGTAGGAGGAGGGTGCTAAATGTGAGGGGGATGACAAATATGCAAGTTCAGCTGCAGCTATGTCTCTCAAAAATTTTTTTTATGATCAAAGACACTTTGCTAGAATTTTTTGGCAGAATGTTGGGGGGAACTAAAATATCAAAAAGACAAAAACACAAGAAACACCAGCAATAATGCCAATTGTCACCTTTGCAGTATAACTTTGTCTAAATGTGTACACACATTGTAATCATTGTACCATTTCTTGCTCCCATCAGTCCAAGGCTGCTGTTTGAACTGTTTATTGATCTCCCCAAGGTCTCTCACATATTGGAACAGGACAATGTTCTCACATGTTCTAGAAAACATGCCAACTATTTTTAGTGTTGGCATGGTCTCAAACTGTGCTGTTTCCGTCTTATTACTTGACCTTCTCAGCAATATGTTCCTCTTGACAGACATCCCACTGGTGGTATACCCTTATAGTTAAGAGAAATTAAGAAAGAAAGAATTCCAAATTCCAGCTCTCTCATTTGATGGTTGTTGTGGCCTTGGGAAATTTATTTAACATCTATGTACCTCAATGTCTTCAACTGTAAAATGGAATAAGTAATGTTATTTGTATAAATTTATGGGGTTACCTTGCAGATTGAATGAGTTAATACACAAAAGCATTTAAAATAGTGCTGTGTACAGAATAAGCACCTTCAATAAGTGTTAGCTTTTATTATTCATTATGTAAGTCTCAGTTGGACCCATTGGTTGAAATTTGGTTGCATACTTACAAAGGGTTTGTGTCAGGTAGAACCCTATGGCATCTATTCACTGATACGAGGGGAGTAGAAGCTCTGCCCCCACATCCACAGATATAACAAACAGCTATGTGTAAAAGGTGAAACATTTTATTTGCATTCATCACAGAGATTGAATATAATCTTATGATGTTTATCCATATAAAATACCATAACATGTTACAGTCATAAATAAGAATTACTCCAACTAGTCTAACTATTTTTACAATGCAGTCTTTTCTTTGGATTACAAATAAGAAGTATAATGACAGCAAGAAGCTTTCAAATTCCATCTCAGCAATTTCCAAAACTTGATTCATAGAATGGAGAACACATTAAAAAGATGATTTTTAAATGGAACCAGCCACCTTGAAAAATATTCTGAAAAACATGGTTAAAAACATGAGAAAATAAAACTTTCAATACTCTAAAAGTTAAAAATATTGCTTGTTGGCCTGGCTTTCCAGGATTTAGACCCCCTGGGAGCTGATGGGCTTTGGTAAAGTAGTGCAACATGCCAGTGGGCTATGGTATTAGATCCAAACAGTCACATTTGAATTTGGTCTACAAACAGAGGCAAGATTCCCTCATTGATGAATGACTCTTGAAAAGAAGACTTTGCTTTTATTATTCATTTGGCTTCACAATCTTCATTGACAAATAGTTCTGAAAAGGAAGAAGAAATAGTGGCTGTATACATGTACATATGTTAGGGTTTCTCAATCTTGGCACAACTGACATTTGGACCAGATAACTCTTTCTGGTTGGGCAGTGCCCTGTGCTTGGCAGGATATTCAGCATAATCCCTGGCCTTCACCCACTGGATGCCAATAGATCACCCCAAAATGTCATCAAAATGTTTCTAGATACCGGCAAATGGCCTCTGGGAACCCTCTCCCACTTCCCAATTGGAAAGCACTGGTTCACATCCATAGAATCTAAACCAGGAAGAAGAAATAACTATATGGAGTTTTTTTTTAAATGGTCAAGACTATCTACAATTGGCTACATAAATTCCTTGAATGGAGGAATAAAGGTACCATGTCTGTACACATGGCTAAATCTTCCATTCGGACTCTGACTTCTAACTAGGGTGATTAAGAGAAATTTAAAAAGAGGTTAATATGTGTAGCCCAGGCTGGTTTCAAACTCATGATCCTCCTGCCTCAGCCTCCCAAATGCTGGGATTACAGGTGCCACCAGGCCCAGGGAGAATAAGATTTGTAATAAACAAAATGTGGGCAAAGGTGTCCATGCAGGTAAGGATAATAAGTATTTTGTGGGGATTAACTATCCAGTTTGGGTGGAGTATGGGGTTTGTGGAGACCTGGAACAAGCCCAGGCTGGGGATCCCTAAGTTAGACTGCAGGATGGCTTGGGCCAGGAAAGTGGGAAGACAGGAAGTCAGCTGGAAACACTGGCTACAGTCCACACGCACGCACACATTACATTAAAATTTCCAAAAGCAGAAGGTTGGACACCACGACTGCTAAATGGGGCATTCTTCTGAGCAGCGGGATGGGTGAGTCCCATGTTAGGTACCCGAGCACAGAGACACACACAGAGCCAAGACAGGAGGCTGGGCTTCCTACCGGCAGCGAGTAGAGGAGCACCGCCAGGAACAGCAGCAGGATGAGCAGGATGAGCAGGCCGATGATGACCCACTTATACCTGCGCCACACGATAAACCGCATGGTCTTGCACGGGTTGGTGAACCAGAGGAAGGAGGTCTCGGGCCGGCTGCATTGCAAAGAAGTGGCATTACCTACCCATCCTGGGAGGGACAATAATCTACCTGAGACTATACTTGTAAGGCGTAACTAATGATGTTGAAAATGTCAGGCTACGTCGTTGGCTGAGAATGGCTCAGGTACTTATCACAGCTCCTGAGATGCTGAGGACGCTGGACTTCAGGGAAGGAGAACATTAAAACAATGCCACATCACCTGCCTCTCCATCCCCCTTAGCCCACTTTCAAATACAAAACTAGAAGGCCAACAGCTAATCCCTTTCCTTAAGCCAACTGGAATTGGGGTTTTCAGTGTGCAGGTGCCTGGGGACCAGACAACGTAGAGAACAAAGAGGGCCTCTCACTTTGGTGGCTCCAGCTTGGGGTTCATGTTGGGTTCGTCCCGCCCCTTCCCGGCTGGCCTCTCGTCGGCCTCCTTCTCATTGAGGACCTCCAGTGTCATCTCGACTTTCCCCTTCAGTAAAGCAGAACAGGTTAAACACATGACGTCACGTTTCACAAATATTTTTACTTTAACCCAGGGAGTATTCCCTGAGCAATGATTTTTATTCTTGTAAAACAATCCTTAGATTGCCTCAGATTTTCCTCAAGAGACTTCTTCACATTTCCTTTTCCATGTGTTTCTGAATCGACTCCATGTGGGAAACTGAGAGGACAAATTGCTTCTCCCCATCCCTGCTTTTCATCCTCCATAGCCATCATTACTGGGTTCCCACATTAATCTCCTTGCCTTGTCATGCACCTTCTTTTATACCTTTATGTGGACCCAGACCGACCCATGTACTTGGAGCACTAACTAGAGGCTCTAAGAGACCAGGGCCATAGTCTCTTCATGCTTACATTGCTCTCCTACTGTGCACAGCAGCACTGCTACTTAGTAGGTACATGATATGTATTAGCTGAATGAATGAGTGAATGTGTGAATGAATGAATGCTGCCTCTCTGCTGATGGCAGATAGGGTCTCGTGAACTCTTGCCTGGGCTGGCTTTAAACTGCAATCCTGATCTCTGCCTCCTGAGTTGCTAGGATTACAAGTGTGAGTCACTTTTTTTTCTTTAAGATGAGAAAAGTTCAGATTTAAAGTTCCTTTTTCTACACTGAATTATACTGGAAGTTCAATGTAAATTAACCTTCCTGGTGAGGGAGGATTATACAGTGCAACTACTGTAATTTTTTGACCATTTCAACCTCTTTGCCTTTAACTAACTCCAAATACAGGCTTCTGGTGTTGTCCGCCTTTTTTTTTTTTTTTTTTTTTTGTAATTCCAGGTACAGACTGTTTTTAACCAGTTTAAGATTTCCCTGTCTTTTCTGGAGTAAATCTATTGATAAAGGACAAAACCTAACTGATAAGAGGAATAAACAATCCCCAATTAGGAAATACTCATACAGCCAGCACACGGGTGCCATCTTTATCTGTGTAGCATGGCCACCATCCCTTCATGGACTTCTGTTCAAAGAGTGAGGCGGTCTTTGCTTTAAGGGGGTCCATGGCTTTGAGGTCTGGAATCATGTCCAAATTACATTTCTCTGATGATTTTGCTGGAATGATGGTGTGATGCAAATCAAGTTCCAGGAAACCTAGCCAAGGAAACAACATTAAATCCAAGTAAGTTTCAAGTGGATCAGCCATTGTTTGTGGCTGAATGTTCTTGTCAGAGAAGAATTATACTGTGATTTTGAGCAGGTGATGGGTGAGTCAGTGAAAGAGTGGAAAATTTCAGAAGAAACAGCTATCTACTGTTCAGTGTCTCAGAGGACTATATACTTTCTCAAAGACATAAGCATAAACAGTATTCTGTAAATTCAAAGCAACTGAACATTGATAAACAAAATTTTCACTAAACTTGGGGTCTTTGTATTTGAAATTTGCTCATTTTGATTTTGAACTGCCCTGAACAGAAAGGTTGTTTGGCTTTGGGTAAAGACACCTGGTGCTTGGAACATGGGGAGCTCCATGCAACATTCACGTTTACGTCTCTCCTAGACTAACTCAGGAACAGGAACTTGAAGGAGCATAACTCAACAGAAAATCCTCACTGGAAGTGGAGAATCCTGGCCAGAATCAGGGTATCTGGAGAGGCACACTTTCCCATCTGTGACAGGAGGCATTAACCGTTCTGTGCCTCTGTCACAGGAAGTAAACAGTGTCACTTGGGCTTGGGAACTTCTGTGAGCCCTTTCCTTAAGTAAATGGTGGCTGTGATGTGGGGTCAAGTCTATAGGATCAGAGTTGGTCAAGAGTGGCAGCGACAGGGAGGTTGTGGTGGAGACTGCCTGCCATCATTTCATGGATCCATAAACCACAGTTTACCTCAGCCTTTTTTACTCTATGTCTGATTTTATCTTTTCTCTCCACTGGTGATTGTTCACTATAGCCATTTGAAACTTAGTCATTCTCCTTTTTAGTTGTCAGACTTTTATATTTAAATTCCAAAGGGAAATTTTCTACTATTCTAGAATTTTCTACCCATATGTCTTATAAGTTAGCATAGTGCCTACTCATTTATTTGTTCCGCTTTTATTAAGCACTGACTAAGGTTCTAGGAGGGGTAAAGGGATGAGACACAGCCAGTGATGGGCTTTTCCTCTACCAGGATGGTTCCTGGGAGCAAGATGGAAGCAGGGAGACTAGTCCATGAGCTACTGCAACAGTTGACTACATGAAAATGAGGCCTGAACTGGCAAGTGGCAGAGCTCACGGAAATAAGGAAGCAAGTGTGCATGATACAGTGGTTTATACTGTAAGGGCTGAGTGGCTGCCAGGGTGTGGGGAAAGAGGAGGAGAAACTGAGCAGGAGTCTTGGAGGGGCTATGTAGTGAAAGAAGTACATGGGGAGAGCAAGTGTGAGGTCAGGGAAGAAATGCTGAATTTGAATTTAGTTGTGATAAATTTGAAGTGCCAGCTAAATATAAGGTGCAGAGGTGAATTGGGAATAACCCTCATAATTATTTCTCATGACTGTGAGACACTGAGGTCAGGCTACATATCCATACTTTGCTGAAAGGTGAAAATAGAATTGTACCTTCAACTAAGGGAAGCATATATAAATCACTGGGCTGGAGAGAGCAACTGTAGAAAAAGAAAAGCCAGGAGAACTTCAGGGAAGGCCTGGATTTCAGAGGTGGTGGGGTCAGAAAGGCAAGGAAGAGAGGTCTTGGGTGGGAGTGCCTTGGGCTGTAGAGGAGGATGGAACTAGGGGAAAGGGCAGTGGCTAGGGGGTCTTTTGGGGACCTTGGTTAGTTTTGAGAGCAGCATGGAGGAGGTGAGAGGTGGTTCCAAGGTGCTGAGGAGAGAGAGCGGTGGCATCTTGTGAGAACAGAGTTGTCCAGTGTGAGCCCTTCCACAATAGCCTTGAGAGTGGATGGAGCCCATGGAAAGGGGAGACATTCACTGTCACGTTGTCCTGCCCTCCATTACTGGTGAGTAATAGAGATTTAAATAACTTCTTCCAAGTATGAATGGATTTCACGAACTTCAAGTACAGTTTCTTAGAGAAAACAACCTGAATGTGAGCCATACCCAAGTAGTCATCCAGGGAAAACTTGTCGTTATCCCATATCTGAATGATCAGTCGGGGTGGGACCCGGAATTCTGTTTGGTCAATGCTCCAGAAATGCTCCTAAAATGACAAGAGACATGTACAAACCAAATGATCTTGATTAGTAGATCCTGAAACCCTTCCATTTGGCCCCTGGTCACAGCATCAGGGCACAAGGCCTTTCATCTCTGCATTCCCTGAGACACCTCCTCCCTTTGCCCTATTCTTCTACTTCACATGTATGGAAGGCCATCAGGCTCCCCAGAAAGTCACAAAGCCACCAACTGGGTGACAGAAAAGGATGTCCCAGGCAGTTCCCAAACAGCAAGTTTCATGTCATGTTCCTATCAGTGTAATATGCCCCCTGGAGACCACAATGGCCCACTTGGATTATCCTTCTGAAGCCAGGCATTCTAGGCCAGCCCACAGTGTCACCCATTTGGGTGTTAGCCCTTCTCAGCAACCTTCTTCCCACCCCTCCATGTCTGAGTAGGCTCTCAATTTATATTCAGTGGAGACTGGGGCACAGATTCCATATTTAAAGGGTCTTAGCATTTTTAGCTTTTGAAAAATACTGTTGGCTTTTCTACACTTGTAGTTGACTAAGACCCTCAGATCCCTCACACTAGAGGTAGGTAGAGGAAGACTAGGACAGAGTACTTCAAGTTATCACCTCTGGTCCCTGCCTCTGTCCAGACAGTACTAGCCAAGATTAATGCCTCCAAAGTAAGTTATACCCAAGTTCCTCTGGATGTCACAGGCAAGGAATTCCCCAATGCTTCGGGAATTTGAATGAACAGCATGGGGTTGTTTCTTATTTTTTTCATATTCCAGGAATGTTCTCCTTTGTAGGGCTCAGAGACCCTGGCTCTGAGGGGCCGGGATGCCTATCCTGCTGCTGTCATATGTCCCTGCCTGGCTGTCCTGTGTGGGGTCATGATCCAAGTACCATTCAGGGAACATGGAGGTTCACCTAGATGTGGATAAACAGAAAAGGTCCCTGAGGGCCTATCTGACTCTAACCCCTTCCCCACTCTACCTCACCATCTGAAACTACATGATTTGATGTCATGATGAGCCTATACAAAGTCCCCTCTGAAGACATCCATCTCACCTGTCATGGAAAAATGCTCACACAGTATCAGCACTGAATAGGACCAGCAGATGGTAGAACCTATCACATGGCACACAGGGTAGGCATGTTTTCATAGGGTATGGATTGAGGAGGTGAGTAGGCAGGGCCAGGGAAAGTTGATGGAGTGTGGGAGGTAGGAAGCAGACAGGGGATCTATTGAAGACATCTGTTACTGTCTACCCAGGTTAAAGGCCCCACTTTTAGATGAGAACATACCGATTATCTTTAGAGAACTGCTCCTTCTCCAGTCAGTGTAAACTGGAGAGAGCTGACTCTATCCCTAACTCCACAGCCTGGCCAATCTGCACACTGCATGCCTGGGCAACACTAGTTGGTTCAGGGACTTCAAATAGGTAGATTCACCAAGGACAAATCCAGAATGCTGGCTGGCATTGCCAAGTCTCCCTTATTCTCCTTTTGCTGAGAGGGCAGGGGTGAGCCAGGGCTACCAGCTGCCATGTTGCCTCCACCAGGGAAGAGCTTGCCTGGAACTGAGGCCCTCAGAGGAAGGGAGAACACAGGGCAGGGAATGTGAGGCCAATTTCTAAAGACATCACTTCTATGTGAGATCCAGATGTTCCTAAAGCCAGCCAACCGTGGATGTTTTAGTAATGTGAACCAATAACTCACTTTTTTGATCTAAGCAGTTTGAATTAAGTTTTGTAACTGAAGGTCTTACTAATTATGACCACAAGGGCCCTAAACCCTTGGGATGTACTTCTGAAGGAAGTAACGCCCCATCACATAAAAATATACGTGGATTGTTTTATATATATTGATATGATTCTTTCTTCTATCCTTTATCCTTCCCTTAGAGGAAAGAAAGTTGCCTTTTTCATCCTTCCTAGTGACAAAAATAACCTGTCATAGCTGTGTGACATTCAGCAAGTATCTACACTTCTGTGGGTTTCAGATTCCCCACCTGTACCAAGAGGAATCTGGACTCCGTGACCTTCAAGGTCCTGAGCATCTCCAACCTTCTCTGAGGTTCTGAGTAAAGGAAGACCCAGAATATCCACTTCCCATTGGCATCTTTCAGAACTCACTTTTTTAGCAAGAATACAGAGTTGTTCAGCGGGGAGGTAGTCAAATGGGAAAACAAATCTCCAGTTAAAATTCCCTTCACCATCCAAGGACCTGTAATGGACATCTGTTTTCTGTTTGTTTTCTTCTTTGCCAGGAATCCAGCTGAAAAGCAGAGGCAAACAGATTTAGCTTGATGTGATTGACAAGTAATCTAGCTGCAAAACTGTGCAGTGATTAGGGGAATGAAGAGTCGGAGAATTAATGCCCTTGTCTTGGGCAGGTTCCAGTGGTCTATGAGCTGGGGGTGATTTATGAAGGGGAGGTGTTCTATTGCATCCAACACAGATTGGAGCCAAATAAAATATAATTCCTCTAAAACCAAAGCAGGAAACCCTTTAGACTTCAGTTAACAGGGCTAAGGTGAAAATTTCTGGAAAATATCAACAATGTAGGTTCTATTTTGAGTACATGAAGCATGTTGGCTATGATTTTAGTCTTCACAACTATGACTCATTAGTGTCTGTCATCTCTGCTGAGAGACTCAATGAACACGAGTTAGCTTGAAATGTTAGCATTTCCTTTCCATATTTTACTTAAGCAAACAAAAAAAGCACGAATCAAGTAATCTTACAGCTTCCTTTTTTATTATTTTTTAATTCTCTATGATCTTATTAATGAGTCTGGTAAGGAAGACATAGCTGTTATTTCCATATGCCTATCTATGAGCATTCATTTCAGTGACAACTTAACATCTTAACCTTCAAAGTTTTCTTCTGTGTATGCTTGGTACATAGCAGACACTAGATAAGTAACTGCTGAAGGAATGAATGAATGCACTGAGAAGGAAGTTGTCACACTTGCCTGCTTCTGGGAAGACTCGTGGTTTGGAACCAGGCGGTGGCATTTGGTTTTAGGTTGGCTAAGTGGTAGAATTGCATTAGAGTCACCTGGGGAGATTTAAAAAGTATAGATTCCTGGACAGAGAGAGAAGGCAGGCCTGGGTGTGAAGCTCTCTGAGCCTCAGGTTTCATCTGTCCTCCTTGAACATGAGGACAGAATGAGATATGATGGCTCAGAGAAGGAGAGTGGGAAGAGGGAAATCCTTAACTCCGGTCTGTGATCATGATCTATGAGCCAGGAGTTTAGCATGCATTAGTTTATTCTTCCCCACAACTGGGCAATGACTTCTATTTTACAGATGAGGAAATGCAGCTTCAGAGAGGACTTGTTAATACTCACCAGCTCATGTAGCCAGTAACTGACAGAATTAAGTTGCACTCCCAGGTCAGACTAACTCAAAGTCCATGCCTGATACACTGCCTCAAAGGACCATGGAAACTATAATGTCATTTGCTAACCCTAGGTCCTTAATGTTAGTTGTGGGCATTAAGACCAACCAACTACAAGAGGTTTCCATTTTGCTAGTCAATAAACTGACTAGATAAATTTGTCAAAAGGTTTCTGGGGCTTGGGATTATAACTCAGTGATAGAGTGATTGCCTAGTATTGGAGAAGCTCAGGGGAAAACAAAAAATTCTTTTGACCATTGACTTTTCAACTACCTAATGGAAGAGAGTTCACATTTTCTTGGCCATGCATGACCAACCTCCTGATCCATTTCTTCAGTGTCCTCAGACTTCTCACTCCCTGCAGTTCTTCCTGTCTTTTTTGGTGAATCTTTTCACATTTTAAGAGAAGTCAAGCAAATGCTTCAGTTATGTATATTTGTGTGTAAGCATGTATAGCTTTGCATGTAAGATCCATATGTGGACAGCGCTAGGTATATATGCATCTTATTCATCTTTTCACATATAATATTTAGATCTCTCTCTCTCTCTCTCTCTCTCTCTCTCTCTCTCTCTGTCTCATATCTCCATCTCCATCTCTATCTGGCAGTACTGGAGATAAAACCCTGATCCTCAGGCATGTTGGGTAAGTGCTCCACCACTCTACTCTCAGTCCTAGTACTTAGATTTTAACCCCAAATTTACAGGGTACTTTAAGTTGAGCTTTATTCTTTGATTAGAAGCATTTTCTCTCAGTCCAGTATTACTTGAGTTTATTTCCTTGATTTAAAAAAGAAATCTTATTATAGTCAAATAAATTTGCATACTTATAATTAGCTGAGATTAGTTTTCCTTGGGGAATGGTAATGAGGTCTTGAGATGAGAAATAATAATGAAGAACTTGATGAAACACTCTCTGCTTACAGTGAGCTTAAATGATAGTCATTATGTCTTTACAGGAGTTTTGATTGAAGGCCACTTGGGATCATAAGTGAAACTTTGTTCTCACTTTATGAATATATTTCAACATGTCTTATCTTCTATATATCAAGGATCTAATCTTAGTCCATGTGGAATAGCAATAATTCTAGCTAACCCCCACACCATGCACATCATCCATCAGGTGCTACCCTAAATGCTTTGAGTAACTGAGTCTTGTGGATATTCCTAGGAAGAAGGTACTGTCGTTGTCTCCACTTTACATGTGAGAAACAGTGAGCCTTGATCTTGCTCTGCTGGTTGGGAAAGTACCAGGATTTCAACCCAGCTAGTTTGACTCCTAAATCTAGCTTCTTAATTAGTATGCTATGCTGCACTCAAAATTTATGGTCAAGGCATAAAAGAAACTAACATCAGCATGGACTATTTGAAATTGAATTTTGTAAGTGAGAATAACAGACAACTATGAATGACATTTTGCACTTTGGATGCAGGCACTTAGTAAATGTTGTTGTGATGAATTTTTTTTTTTAAAATCTATCAGTGTTTCCTGTTTTCCATGAACATTGGCTGTTGGTAATAAATTGTATAGAAAAAGAAATTTTGGAAGCTTTACTGTGTTTCTAAGACTAGTTATCCAAGTATTAAAGAGGAATAAAAAGAAACTTCATGGCTAAAACAAATCTCAGAAATCACAAATCTGTTCAGTAAACTGAAGAAAATGTACTTTGTTAAGAGAGAAATGAAGAAAGATTTATCAGTTCTTGCCAGGCACCAGTGCCTCATGCCTGTAATCCCTGCTACTCAAGAGGTAGAGATCAGGAGGATTGGGGTTTGAAGCCAGCCCAGGCAAATAGTTTGTGAGACAGTATCTCAAAAAAAAAAAAAACCCATCACAAGAAAGGACTGGTGGAGTGACTCAAGGTATAGGCCCTAAGTTCAAGCCCCAGTACCTCACACACAGAACAGATGACAGTAATTAGATAAAAGAGCATCAAATAATCAAGAATCCTGCAGTGGACACTTAAAATAACAAGTCAGGGGAGTCCCTGAGCTTGTCAAAGTCTCCTGCAAGCCATCCTCACCCTTTCACGTAGATGTCACTCATGTCCTCTCCAGTGATACTTTTCTCATCCAAGATAACGTCTTTGGTGTTCCAGATGATCACACGTAGGTAGTATCTGAAAGGAACACAATTTGGAAGTACTCTTCTTCTGGTCCTGGACCAAGTCCCTAGTCCAGGGTAGCTGGGTTTCAAAATTACTTACTTCTTGGCTTTCCGGGGTGTGATGTTGAAAGGAGGGCCTGGTGGTCCCAAACTCTTGGGGAAAACATCTACCCACATCTGAAGTTTTCCCTAAACCAACCAAAAATGAAGAGGACTGAAGCTAGTGAGTGGTAGAAGCTACAATTTTCTATCATATTTCTTAAATGAGACTATTTTTTCAGACTTGCTAATTTATTAGTCCATATGGAAGGCAACAAGTGCAGTAAAAGAGCAAGTAGAGATTAATCTTACATCTGCAATGTCATTTAGGCCACTTCCCATTCCTACCCATGGTCTCTAATGGCTGCATGTGCCCACTTGTATCACAGCACACACACACACACACACACACTCTCTCTCTCTCTCTCTCTCTCTCTCTCTCTCTCACAAAGATTAACAATTGGGTCCTTCACCCTCTATTAGTTCTCATGCTGTCACTCTATTCATCATCACTTCACATTGCCTACTTGTCATCAGTCCTGGTTTTGTGACACCCAAGGAATTCTCTACTTACCTCAAAATGAAAAAAATCAGGGTAACATAAATGGTATTTAACTTTGTAAAAGAAAAGCTTACAACATGGTTCTTTCAAAGGAGGGACTGAATAAGGACAAAAATGTTACTGGTTTTAAAAAATAGGGATTCCCTACCATTTGCTCACCAATGTCCACCACCCAGGAGGAGGCTCACAGGAGGACAAGGGTAAAGGCATGCACTCACACTTGTGCCGCCATCTTGCCGAGACCCTGCTCAGTTCCTTGGCTGAAATAGACTGAGCCCATCTATCTGACTGGAATATTCTTCCAGACAGGCTGTGGATACCATTTAAAAACTATATCAACCATGCAAACCAACTTATAGTCTCCAAACTACTTTTGGATGTTCTAGAGAGACTCTGCCTTCAGACAAAAACAGACTGGTCTTTAAAAGAAACTACTAGATTGGCTTCCAAATGCATTGCTATGTAAATGAATTATCTGGAGTTCTTGAGAGGGGATATATATTACTATGATCCAGATTGTTTTCCAACTGATCTCTAGGGCTTAGGGCTGTATAATACATCAGGCATGCTGCAAGACATCAGGCATGCAGGGGTCTCCTAAGACTTAGCCACAGTCCGTGCCTAATGCTGTAGGCAGAAGTGATGATGGATTCCCAGGGGAATATCCTTCTCACTCTCATTTACTGAGACTCTTTCTACCTTTGAGAGGTGGAATAAAGGAAGAGAAATAGGCTCTTTAGCGGGAGGAGGAAGAATAAGAATTGGAAGAAATGGAAATGTGACACAGAATAAAAGCAAGAAGCGACAAAATGATACAGTAAAGTCAGGTCACTTGTGGTCACTCCTTAGTGATAGGCTTGTCCAAAGTCTCACAGTTGGTGTTAACAACATTCGCACTGAAGTGTGACCTCCTAGCCAACTGTATCAGAACTTCTACAGGTACATTCCTGACATTAACTTAGACCTACTGGACCCAAATGTCCGCAGACAAGCCCTGGAAACATTTATTATAACAAGCTGCCACATAGTCTATTTCATCATTGGCCATGTCTTGCTTTGCTTCTCTGGAAACTGCTCTTCATCTTCTGGTTGCTGGCCTACCCTCATCACTATGTGCACGGTCCTTGTGACCTGCCATCTTGTGCACTGTGATCTTGGTTCCCTGACTCTTTAGCCTCAGATGGCACCTGCTCTCCAAGCCAGGCCAAGCTCAGTCACTTTCCCAGACCCTGCTCATCTGGCGAAAGCTGAGTGGTCCATGGGTGACAACTGGGCCAATGCCACTGCATTTGGGGTGTAGATGATAAGCCTTCCCCTTCACCTGGGAAATGTTGGGCTGGAAGGTGCTGTGCAAAGTCCTCGTTTCCACGTGTTCCGGGACCAACCCTTGAGTCCTGAGGATGTGGAGTGCCAGACGCTCTTCAGGGGCCCCTAGGTGCTGGTGCAGGATTTTGTTGACTTCTGAAATGGAAGGTGGCATTGAAACAGGGATGGGCAGTTGGGAACAGCTCAGTCAGACTGCTCTGAGCTGCTTGCAGTACTTCATCCCAACAGTGCAAAAATGGATAGGCACTCCCAGTGTGTCAACCTTGGCTTGTGAAGGAATAGTGGATAGAAAAAGTTTTGTCCAGGGCCCTTGCCCTCCCATGCTCAAATCAACTTATGGACTGCCAATAGCAAAGGGACCAGAACACGCAAGAATGGGTGAGAGCAGTCTGTATTGCTTTTGTGACATGGGCTTATAGCCAGCCTGTTTCCCAGCCTCCCTTGCAGTTATATATGGCCATGTGATCAAGTTCAGCTAGAATGCAACATGAATGGAAGTGGCATGTGTATCAGTCAAGACCTATAGCCACCTAGGGCCCTCTGTGTGTCTTTCTCTTCTGGATGTGGAGGAGGACAGCAACCTTAGATGCCTGTACCAAGAATGGCAGATCTATAAGATAGAAGGACCCTGAGTTTATGAAACAGTGCTTGGAAGAGGGTCACCTACTTGTAGATATGCCTACTTTAAATTAATTAGAAATAAACTTCTGGTGTGGTTACAGCAGTTAGCATCAGTGTGATATTCTAAAATATGACTTCTAAATTCTTGGACCCTTCTCCCATCAAGAAATGGCTTCTGTGTTCCTTCTCTTTGACTCTGGAGACATACTGAAACATTGTGAGACAGGAGCTGTGCAACTTCCCAGGCTAGGCAAAAAGGCCATGAAGCTCCTGCCTGGTTCTCTTGGGACACCTACTCTGGGAAAAGCCATCCACCCTGTAGGAAGCCTCGTACCCAGAGACTTCCCTGCTGGAAGGCCTGTGTAGGTGCTTAGGATGTCAGCCCCAGGAAGACCCGGCATTGATTGCCAGCCAGTCCTCACCACTTGAATTTTCAGATGACTGCAGCCCCAGACAGTTTGCTAGCAATCCACAGCTATATGCTCACCAAATTCATCCAAACTGTATTCTTGTCCCCCATATCTGATTCTGCTTCCATCTTCAGAAAGGATGGGCTGTGGGAAGCCTTTGAATCTGGCTACATTTTGAAGCAACTGCGTTGGTCTCAGCTGATCTCGCCAGGTATTGACTCCAGAGCTGTGAATAGCACCAGACGTCCTGTATTACTGTAGGGCCACAGGTTCTGGGAGCTACACACACACACACACACACACACACACACACACTTCCTTCCAGGCACTCCAAATATAACGGGAGCAGGGGATGTGCTGTACATTTTACTTCTACCTAGAAGTCTATTTCAGAGGCCACAAATCCACACACTACTTTGGCTTCAGCCAATCTATCATTTTACCTTGATTATCATTATTATTTTTTGCATATGGTTTCCTCTTCTGTGAAAATGAGGAGTCAGAGATCACCATAGTCATAAGAGGCAAACTCATGAACTAGAAATTGCAAGGTCTGCCTCTTAGGTACCTAGAAAGTCACTGGAGAGCTTTCGGGGGAAGGGAGATACCACAAAATTCATCAGTTTGGGGGTGAGGGACTCCCTGTCTCCAAAGGGCAGGGAATTCCTGTCATCACACATTGCTAGCTCTCAGTCCCAGATATCCATGGGAGGCTCAGCTGGGGCGAGAGCCCTGGTTCTCTGTGTGGTGTTGCTAATGCCACCACACTATTCCAGTGGCCACCATTGGATTGGACGATGCAGTGGTTCTGGTTCCCCCTCAGATAATCCTATCACTAAAAATGACAACCAGTACCACTACCACCACCACCACCACCAAAAAAAAAAATGCATTTAAAAAGTTAATGAGACTCCATCTCAACAAACAAGCTGGGCATGGATGTATCTCTTAACTCTATAATCTCAACTATGAGGGAGGTAGAGGTAGGAAGATCATAATCTAAGGCCTGGACTTGGGCAAAAAACACAAGACCCTATTTGAAAAATAACCTAAAAGTAAAAAGGGCTGGAGGCATGGTTCATGTGGCAAGAAGCTGAGTTTCCTTATTGAGCAGGTGCAATAAATAAATAAATTCATACCACTTAACCACCTGAAAAAACCAAGGGGTGGGTGAAGCAAGGCACAGAGGCAGCCAGCCAGCCTCCCCTCCCCCTTGGTGTTAAGGTCAGGTAGAGCACACAGCCTTCATGCCCAGGCCAGGCAGGCCGGGCGGCTTACGTGCAGTACTGCTCAGGGATGCCGCAGTGGGAGCCAAAGCGGGAGAGGAAGCGGTTCTCCAGGTCAATGATGGTTTCTCCTACTTTCTCATCACGGGTAAAGGTGTCGTAATCGTAGACGGAAATTTTCAGGTCTTTTTCTTGAGGTAAATAGCAGCTCAGTTCATACATTCTAAATAAAGAAATGCAGGGTTAGAATTTCCACCATCCGTCCAGGCATATCACAGAATCCAGGGCTCCACACTAACAATTCCCAGGTGGTGGCTATGTGCTTGGAAGACAGCGTGGATTAGGACAACCAGGGGCGGTGGGGGGCTTGGTAAACAGTACATAGTAGCAGTAAGAGTATGTGTTTGCTCAGGAGAAAAGCAAGGGCTTCAGTACCGATGTTCAAATCCCAGCTCTGCTGCTCACTTACTTAACCTCTCTGTGCTCAGTTTTCTCACCTGTAAAATGGTGATAATAATAATACATACCACCTGTGATGCTATACAGGTCAAGTGAAGAAATACTTATAAAGCATTTGACAATGATAATAAAGTATTATAATATTATCACTCACATGCCTATTAACGGACACCTGAGCAACTGTCCCCAGCAGAGAGACGAGTAAGGCTCAAGAGCTCTGATGTAGGCCAGGTGCTGATGGCTCATGCCTGTAAGCCCAGCTACCCAGAGGCAGAGATCAGGAGGATCTGTGATTCAAAGCCAGCCACTATCTCAAAAAAAAATCCATCTCAGAAAAGGGCTACAGAGTAGCTCAAATGTAGAGCGTCTGTCTAGGAAGCATGAGGACCTGACTTCAAACCCCAGTGCCACAAAAAATAAAACAAAACAAAAACCCTCTGATTTGCAGCCCCTCATCTGTGCCCCACTATGTTCCTACCCCAGGGAACATCTTTGACCACCCCACAAGAGAACAGGGAAGGTGAACAGAGTTCACAATATGGTGTGATGTGTGTAAGGGTGGGGGGCTCCTAGGCCCCCTAGCTCTGCCATAGGCTTTGGTTTTTTAAACCTCTTCTATAGAATCTGGATTAAAATGCAAACACTTCTGAGATGCAGAGGAATGGTCAAGCAGTACTTTTGTGGCAGGCAAGCCATGTGGTCCAGAGGGTGCTAAAGTGTACCTATCAGCTCCAAGCAGGCATGGTTTTGCCTGGGTATTTGCACTGTCCACAGAGGTACTTGTTGCATACTAGGTGCTCAGTAAATTTTACTGAAGGAAAAACTATGAAAGGCCTCCTCTCCCCCTGTGCTCCTCCCCTTCTTCTTGCACTCTGGTGTGTGGACCACCTCCTGCCTGAAGAGCTGGGGATGTGAGCAGCAGGTTGTACCCATGGGGTTCTGGAGAAGAGCTTTCAGACATCTAGACTTCTCTAGCCTGCACTAACCACTGTGAAGCCTGCAGGAGGCAGGTGACCATGTGAGAAAAGGCACTGGGATGGTGATCCTACATGAAGCATTCATTGTACTCACATGTGCCCCATAACATTACGCTTCCAGTACAGGACTCCAAGGGACAGGTAATATGTGCCTTTTAGGAATAAGAACTCTGTGGTCAAAAGACTGAGAACCACCTCTTTTGGATTTCTTTTGTGTAAACTAAAGGCTCTGAGAAGTTCTGCAATTACTTTTTTTTTTTTAAACCCCCAGTGCCTTGGTTTGACTAAGAAATACCCTCCCACCCTGACCCCCATGTTGGAACATCAATTCATATCTTATGAGACAGTTTGCTGAATTTGAGCTGGAGAAGGCCATAATGCGATGGGAATACTGGCCAATGGCCAAGCACATAGGAAAGGTGGCTGCTTCCAGGAGTCACTGCTGAGAAGAAAACCACCTCCTAAGCCATGGGCTACAGCCATCATAGGGGTTGCAGAGCAGACTCCTTGGCTCCATCCTGCTGGATGAGGGAAGTCTGTCCATCCCCACACCTGCCATTGGTTGAGTGGAGCCCCAAGCATCACTTCCTCCTGGAGTGGCCCCAAGCAAGACTTTTCCTGCTGTTTAATTAAGCTTGTTCTTGGCTCCTCTGAGAGAGGAGGGATCCAGACAGGGCTGCCTCGCTTTCAAAACCATCTCTCCCTGCTTCCCCGGCTCCCTCACATGGAGCCTAACTTCCTGCCCTGCGTGCCTTTTCCTGTCTAGACCTCAGGGCTGGATCAGCAGAAGAAAAGGAAAACGATCATATTGCTGTGCCAGAGGATTACTTTCACTCCCCGGCCCCAGCATGTGGCCTCGGGGTGGGCAGCACAGAGGGTGCGTGTGTGCGTGCGCTTGTGCACGCAGTTTGGGGGCCAAGTGTGTGGTCTTGTGTGCATGTGTGTTACCGGCTGTGAGACTGGTATGTTTGAATCTGAGAGACTGATCAAATGACACAGATATGGGTACATGTACACGAGAAAGAAAGAGAAAGCATGATGGCAGAAACCAACAAATATAGGCCTTGTGGCAAATGAGAACACGGTGTTCTCCCACTCAGCAAGGTTTGGGAAAATAATACAGTTTTCTCAGATGTTTTGTACAGTGAATATTCTTCTACAGGTGCAGTTTTGCTATGACTAGGAAACACTCCCAAAGGTGTTGGGAAAGCCTGCAGCTCAGAGTCAGGAATTTCTCCTCAAACCTGGCTCTATCACTTACAAGTTCCTTGTCAGAGCTCTTGGAGGCCTGCATCCTCACCTGTAACACTGGGCTGCTAAGCCCTGCCCTACCTCACTAACAAGTATGACACAGGGGAAAATCAGCAGCAGCAGGGTGCAGTGTTGAAACCACACTGGGGTCAGATGGCCTGAGTTTGAATCCGACCTCAGTCTTTTATCAGGCTATGTAAGGCACAGATTTTCTCTGAGCCTCAGTTTCCTCTGTTGTAAAGTGGATAATGATAGAGCTGTGAGCTTTTTGATTTGCTTTATGTAAACGGCTCAGCACACAGTAAGTGCTCAGCAAATATTAGCTATGATTACATGTGGATGCAGTTTATAACTGAAAAGCACCAGTCTTAATAATCATTTGGTTTTGGTCTCTTGAGATGGTTCTGATGACATAAATATAATAGACCAGAAAATAATAAAGAAAATAGTGCTTTTTCAAGGGTTTGAGGGGATCAGAAGACAAAAGGAACAGAACATTTGACACTATTGCTTTCTGCCTTGGGTTGGATAACAGAGTCTGTAATATATTCACTGACTCAAAACTGTGGAACCAGAATGTCCCAGAAAACAGCCCCAAATAGCTTCTGGAAGTGAAAACAGCTAAGTCCCTCTGCCTCTCCTTGTGTGGAACCTGCAAACTTATCAGACTCCTGGGCCTCAAGCCACCCTGTGGCTCCATGGCCCCCCTATCCCCCAACTTCTCAGGGCAAATTTCTTGTGACTTCTTTTTCTCACAGTACTTTCCTTCCTATTTATTACCTGCTCCCTTGACTAGAATATTTGTCTAATTCATGTGCACAGCCCTGTTTAGGCCTGTGTCCAGGCCTAAACAGGGCTGGACGCACATTATATCCTTAGTACATGTTTCTTGAAGAAATGAATGACTGAAAAGCACTTTCAAATATACATTACCTGCCGAAAACTGGGTTGAGCGTGTTGGGAATGTAGTGGTCTCGGTCTTCAATTACTTTTTTGCCCAGTGTTATTTTTATGTAAGGGTCACACTGCAGGGACAAGACAGATGAGATGTTATGTCATCCTAGGGTGCAAGTTGAAGTCAATCTCTGCGATAGACTTGGCTTACTTCCACACCCACTCCCAACTGATGGCAAGGTGGCACCATGTGCCTAAGATGAGCTCTGAGCAACATTTCCTTTGGGTGGCAGGCAGCCAGCATGCCTTCTGAGCAGCTGTGTGGGTAAAGAGGTGGGTGGGGGAGGGGAAGGGGAGCCTGGCTCTGCTCTGTGACTGGAGCAAATCGTGTCCCAGGTCACATCTGTAAAATGAGAAGGATGAACCAGAGGGCCTTAAGCCCCCAAAAGCTCTTAGGTAAATCCCCAGGGACAATCCTCCTGAATACATTGTTTTCATAGAGTATCTTCCCCTAGCAAGATAACAGACGCCCAGAAAGAAAGAACGTGACAATTACTGTGCCTGATGACTGTAATTACCTTGCTACAGGAGAAGGCCCCACACCCAAACTCTTACCAGGCCATTGTTGTCCTGGGGCTGCAGCTCTAAGCCTTGAACAATGTAAATCCGAACTGTGCATTCCTGTGGGACGCTGTCAGGTAATTCCCGAAACTGCCTGGGAGGGGCTGGCATGCTGGGGTCATCTGGCAGGGGGTAGATTCGAAAGGAGCCCTAAAAAAACAGATGCACAGGTGACTCATAGGGTCCCGGGGACAGTCACAAGGCTGGTGGGACTGGGCGATGGAGGGCCACCTCTTGTGAAACAATGTGTGTGGCACTTGCATATTGTGAATCAATTCCAAAATAATTTTGTGAGGATACCAGGGGAAAGACAGCAGAGTAGAGCAGGGGACTAGGAAACAAACTGGGCAGGAAGTGGTGGTGACCCTGGTCAGGGTGACGGGGTGGGGAGGGTAACAAGGATGAAAAGCTGCCCTTCCTTTGAAACAGGAATAAGCCCAATGAAGTACTAAGGATGCCTTCCTGTGTCCTGTTTTCAGCTCTGTGTACCCCATCTCACTCCCAGGAAAACTCCTGTTCAACCTTCAGGTCTCAATTGTAAGATATCACTTTTTCCCTCCCTGTTACCTCCCCGTCTGCCCTTGGCCTGCTCTCCTTTAACCCTGTCTTCCACACTGTTTGAAATGGTGTGTTAGTTATCTACATCATGCACTAGACTGTGAGCTTCTGTAGGTGGTGGTGGTGGCGGATGGGGATATTAGGTCTTGGTCACTATCCTACTGCCGGTGTTTAACTCAAGCCTTTTCTTCTAGTAGGGAGGCACAGAAATGCTTTTTGAGTGTGTGCCAGAATGCCAGCTGGAGAGGCCACACACTCTATCTTGAAATCAGCTTAAACACAGGAGAAGGAAGCCCTGAACTTGAGATCAGAACACATGGATATTCATGCCAGCCATCAGTGCTCTGGAAAGCACCATGAAGTAAGAACCTACTATGTGCCAGGTATGGAACAGCCGAAACTCAAGGAACCCAGGCTGGCACAGGGATGTTAAGTTAGCTCAGTTCTCATGCCCTCTTTGATTGCTTGGTGGGAGGCTGTAATGGGAAGGATTTGAGACCACGTGTAGGTCTAATCCCTGATCCATTAGCTATGTCTGCTATTGGCAAAGGCTCAGGAAGAGGCAGTGTATATGCCAAGTGTGGTTGGAGGGTGAGGCAGTCATACAAACCCATGGTGTGAAAGGTGCTTTCACAGTGGGGTGAACCTAGACCTGTGGGAGCCCAGAGTGACTCAGGCTGCCTAAATGAGTAGGGAAATCTTGACAAAGAGTGACATTTGATCTGGCTTAGAGTTTGAGTAAGAATTAGCACAGAGAGGGAAGGAAGGGCATCCAGGGAAGGAAGAGGAGCCTGTCCCGAAGCTCTGAGCTGTTAGAGGACAAGGTGTGTTTAGGACAGATAGGTGGGGTGTGTGAGGGAGAGGTGGCAGGGGGTACATATCACTTGTGAAAGGCCAGCTCTGCCTGGGGAAGGAGTTGAGACTTGATCCTGTGGAAACCCAAGTGATGTCTTTAAGCCATGCAGACACAGGATCAGATTTGGTTTCAGGGAGGATGGCAGGCTGGGAGGAGAAAGACAATCGACTGGGAAGTTGTCATAATGATTCTACTGACAGCCTAGAGAGCAGTGGAACAGGAGGAGGAGCAGGGAGAGGTCTGAATCTGTATGGTTCAAGATGGGCTTCCAGGAGCAAGGACAGAAGGAGATCATGAGTGTTACTCTTCCACTGCCCTTTTCCTTGGTAGCAGCTTCTACTTCCTTCAGAAGTGGAAGGACCTGGCCCTGCCCCAGAAGTTGGTTGTCCTTTATCCTAGGTCTATAAAGAAAATAAAGGTTGCTGGGTCTGATTGTATATGCCTGTAGTCCCAGTATCCAGGAGGCTGAGGCAGGAGGATACTGAGTTTGGGCTATCCTGGGCTACATAGGGAGACTCTGCCTCAAAAAACATAAACAAAAACCTTACCAAGAAACAAGGTGGCTTTTCAACAGGAGGAGCACACACGTTACTCACCTTAAACTCTCCTACCACAGAAGGGTCTTCATTCTCATCCGATTTGCCACGGTACAACTTGAAAGTTTCTGAGAAGTCTGTCAGGCCTTCAAAGTCTGCTACATCCTCTAGTTCACAGTCATATATCTGAAAACCATCAACCAATTCTTAATTTCTCATTAAAATGCAAGTGGAGTCTAAAATCAAAAGGGGGTGAGGGTATGAATGGAGCAACTGGAACTCTCACATTGCTTGTGGGAATGTAAAATGATCTAACTACTGTGGAAAATGTCTGACAGTTTCTTATGGAGTTAAATATTCAGATCTAGAATCTGGAAAGTGCATTCCTAGATATTTACCGAAGACAAAACAAAAACTTGTCCCTGTGGTTCAAAAATGTCACCTGGGGAATGGTAACCGAATTGCATATCCACAGAATGAAATACTACCCAGCAATAAGAAGAGACAAGCTACTGATACACAATGCTGTGTTGAGTCTCAAAAGCACAATGTGGGTTTGGAAACCAGATAAGCACAATAAATACTGGAGTCCATTTATATGGAGAATAAAAGCAGACAAAAACCAATCTATGGTATTAGAAATCAGA